AGACAGACACACACACACACACACACACACCACACACACAGACACACACACACACACACCACACACACACACACACACAAACACACACACACACACCCACACCCACACGCACACGCACACGCACACGCACACGCGCACGCCCACGCACACGCACACGCACACGCACACGCACACGCACGCGCACGCGCACGCGCACGCGCACACGCACAAACACACGCACCGACACATACATACATCACCCACACATCACACATATCACACACATCACACACACACACATCACACACACACACACACACATCTCACACACACACACACACATCCACATTCATACACGTGCACGCTTACACACACTCACACAGAAAACGCGGAGAAACAAAACACACATATGCACAGACGTACATACATGCATACATACATACATACATACACACATACATACATACATACATACATACATACATACATACCTCCAGACGTACACACAAACACAAACGTACGTACGTACATCCGTCCATGCATTGCGCTGCAGAACATAATAAAGCACAACATAAAACAGCAACATGTCTGTGGACATGTGTACATGTCAGCATGTGTGCACGCGCTGAACAATGTGTTGTACACACAACACGTACATCTAAGCCTTGTGTAGCCATCTTGGACCCCAATACCCCTAACATGACTGAACCTGCATGCTGCGACATCCAAATGCCAAGAGATGCGAGAGTTTCTCTTAGCTCTCAGTTTCAGGCTCAAGGTTTAGGGTGTTGGGGGCTCAGTCTGTATGGCTTTGGATTTCGGGTGATTCGGAGCCGACTTCGGAAACTTGAAACCGAAGCAAGACAAGATATCAACGAATAACACCGAAACTCTCTATGCGAAGAACGCAAAACCCATCAACCCAATCCTAATGCCCTGCCGTGAATGGTGTCGGCTTAGGGATCGCGAACCCTGGCGAACTTCGACAGCTGAGATTCCGTTGAGGGTCTAGAGTCTGGAGCGGAGGGCTTTGGGCCACTTAGGCGCCAAGTACGTAACTGCAATGCAAAGTTTTGCCAAGCCCCTGGCTCAACTCGAAACCGTGAGTACACAGCTTCCGTGTGCCACTCGATCATCATTTCCTGCAAGCAAGGGCATGTATAGGAGGACCCACCCCAAGTGCATTTTTGTTACTCTAGAAGTCACCTGAAAGTTGTCAGGAATGGACCGAGAAATAACCCAAAGAGCACCTTCGAGGCTCCAGGAATTTTCACTCACGAGCGGCGAGCATCTCAGAACAAGGGATGGAAGTAGCCATTGTCGCCTCCGAGCTGTAGCTATCTGGGCCACAGATGTTCGAAGCGACTTTGGAAAGACATCCTTGCACAACACCGACTCTGCCAAGAACGATGCGCTTAGAAACTTCCAGAAGCAAGACGTCAGCTCGTTGCCATGGAACATTACCAGGCAGCTGCCGAAAATTGCGGAGCTTTGCGGGAAACCTGAGAACCGCAACCTACATTCCGGGCAGCGCTCCGGGCATCGTAGTAAGCCCAGAACCTCCTGAAGTGTTGCCTCAAGATTCCTAAGCCCGGGATAGGCAATGCATGCAGCAGCATCCCGGAGGTTTCTGGGGTCCGGATCGAAAGCGTTCACGTCCGTGCTGAGGCCCAAATCCTGAGGAGTGTGTGCGCCTGCCCTTTGTTTTGCTCCGACAGGACACAGAGAAACCCTGGATTCGCAAATGCCTGCAGTGATGCTGACGACGAGAATGATGATGACCACACAACGACGAGGATGTCAATCAATATGTGGGCGAGGGTCAGGCGAGGCGATGGAAATGGTCACGACGACGATTGCGATGAACGACTGCCACAATTTTCTCAAGTATCGACAGAAGTATCCTTACATCAGTACTCACAACCTGCATACTTCTGTAAGACAGAATGCTTTCCGAATACTTGCTCATGTGTTTGCCATCGATTTGTTGTTTTTCGGATATCGGGCCGCATGAACAGGCCATTGTCGCTGTCTTGCTTTTGAAAGCGAAGTTCAGCACTAGTGAGCCCTAGTCGTCGATATTGCCATGGCTCTTGCTTGCAAGAAGTCTTGCATTCTGTGTGCTGCGTCATGATCTTTCTACTTACGGCGATTGCCATCCTACCGTGATGATCATGACTACTGAACCTACTGTTGCTGCGCCAATTTCGGTCCTCTTTTTGTGGATAGCTGTGAATCTGTCTGGCTCCAGACTTGCTACACTTGCAGGGATTGCACTCTTGCTTGTATCCGAGCTGCCTGCAGCCCAGAATCCTACGACGCACCCTACAACCCCCGATGACCCCCATTATCATTGTTTCGACGGTGATGCAAATCCCGAGAGGCACAAAGCCCTCGACACCCTCCTGCCCTCCCCTCGGATTTTGAGTATTTCTGGTGCGTCTAGACTCTAGACGCATTCTCAAAGCCTGCTGCCACTGGCAAGGCACCTCCAGGATTTGCAGGTCCCAGTCAATGCTCTTTTCTTCCCTGCGGTGTTTGTCGCCAGCAGCAATTTGGGGTTTGGGGCTTAAAGCTCGAGGACAGACTGGTCTGAATAGTTCCTCGCTGGAGCTTCAATCCCTTCCCAACTGGTCCCGCGACATGGCTCGGAGACGAAGTACATGCTCTGAGCTTCAGGCCCCAAGGCGCTGTGAAAACGATGCAGGGCGCCGATCACTTCGCCCAGCCGCATCTTTCAGGCGGGATTGCAGTCCAAAAAAGATATCCTATTGATCGGGAAAGAAAGAGGGTGGTTCTTGCAGTGCAGGTCAAGCTGATCTGTGAGGATGGGCTGGAGGATTGGGTGCAACGGATACAAAGCCCGAGGATGCCCCCCTTGCGAGACTTGGCGTCCACAGTGATGACAAAATTTAACAACCGTTCAGCAGGTCTGGTGCAGGCAAGGCTGATGCACCCTTGAAGATGCACTGTGAGCTGTGGGTGCGTACTTCCGACCATGACCTGGTGTATTATGTATCGACTGCCGGGTTGAAGCCAAGATCGCCACCTCGCCGGGGCAATCCGGCGACTCGGACTGGTCAAGAATCTCCATTGCCCTCTTCCTGCACTCGTTTTGGCTTTCGGGCCGGGCTTGAGGGAGAGAAGACGAGGTTTGTAGTGCACTCCGAACTACACTGAGTCTGTGTTCATGGTCAATTTGCATTTTGACTGGCGGTGCATCCTGAACAATGCTTTCAAGGGGCCGACATCCATATCGCTGCTGTTATTACTTCCACATATGACACGAACTGCACACATCTTGAGAGATCCGAGGTCCATCTGGGAAGTCGTCAGATTGGAACCTGTTAACCGCACGTCTTCGGCAAAAGACCATTCTCAGTTCAGGAGCAATGCAGTGTAACAAAACACACCCGAAGCCCTTCCCTTGCAATCTAGAAGGATTACAGCAGAGAGATTACAGGCCTCTGGACCCCAAGTTTTCTACAGACATATCCTTCCGGGCGGCTATTTTCGTCTCGGTTTGGTACCTCTTTAAACAGACAGGGATGACTCGATGATGACCTTTCAAGCATTCTTACTAAACCCTGAAGTCTGCTGTCAAGGCTGTAAACAACGCAGCTCAGGGCGGTGCACGACGCTCGCTGGTACGGTGAAGGACTTCGGAAAGATGCATCGACGCCTCTCCCTTGCAGCCAGGCGCTGCAGGGCACGGACTTGAGAGATCACCACAATTCGGCTCTTAGTGATGAGCACAACCAGGCCTGCAAAGTCTTGAGAACATGCGAAAGAAGTTCAGCAACATATACACACACTACTACCCCACACCGGCACGAACCCTAACCCCTCAACCCGCGAATCCAATCCATTGCAAACTGCCCGACCCAGCAGCTCGGCTGCCTTTCTGGATGCTTCCCCAAAGACATGGTGCTGGTGAAGTTTGCGTCGTAGTACCTCTGCCGACGAGTTACTGGAGATTCAGCTTCCCCGAGCAGGCCGAAAGCAGCCTAAACCCCAAGTCCTCCCAGCAAGAGCTCCTTTGGAATCCCGAAACCAACCCTGACCCCGGGACCGCTGGGGCACTGCTGAAGGTTCCGGAGGATAGCCTGCTTCCGGGTCTCCAGGCTGTTCATCGACTCATCCTAGGTCTAAGACAGCTTCTGAAGCCACGATCGGTTATAGAAAACAGCCTCCGTGTTGTTTTGTTGCTAGGGGGTCCTAACCAGCGCAGGATGTGCAAAGCTGTGCAAAGTTGCATGTACGACTATCACGGTGCCACGAATACGAAAGGCGCCGTCCGAAGACCGAATAGGATCCCTTCCGAATCCGAAGTGACTCCGAAGAAACAACACAGTGAATGGCAGGGGTCCAGGATTCCCATGTTGTGAAGCACTTCCATCTTTCAGTACTGTCAGCGATCTTGCTGTGAGCTGAGAAGAAGCGGCTACGAGGCATTGAGGACTGCGTCAAGTTTGCATCTAACATGCAGCTGCTGGCAAGACCATATGTATGTGCATATGCATACATGTGTATACATCGGAGCTTGCCTTGTCAGGCGTTCCGCGTCCTTTGTCTTTCTTCGTTTGTCACCATGTAGAATTGAAGGATCATCGGGCTTGCGTTGATGAGTATTCCTTTCTCCAAGCCTTCTACGGCTGAGGCCGGGTTCCTGGGTTCCTGTTTGTGATGAGGCTGCTGGCACATGGCACCTTTGGACCTGACAAGTCTGACATGGCTGAGCACAAACCATTTGTGCTCCGACTACTCCCGATGGCACTGCCCAGGGCCCGACGGCCCGACGGTAAAGACTCTGCATCAACTATAACATCTGATGTTGCCGGCGTTGTCGACTTCAAAACACACCCTGTAAGTTGTAGCCGTAGCTTGCTCAGGGGTCTACCATCAGCGCACAACAGCCGAAGTGGAAAAGTCGGGGCTTACTTGGGAAGCGCCAACACCGAGGTCCCGACACCCTTGACTTCGTTGGAGTTCCGCCTAGGTCGACCAACCCTACGGAGTACTGGCAGTCACTGACAGTCGCAAGCTGAACCTTCGCATCACCCGCGCCTCTCACGTGGCACCACTTCGTCGTGGTCGAAGCCGGGGGATACTGCGAGGCTTTGGTTCAGAGCTTCAGGGTTCTGGGCTGGGAGCTTAATGGCTTTGCCGTATTGTTTTGTCCGCAACAGTTGGGCTCGAGCGTGCGGGGTGCGGTGGTTGGGATATGACACAGCCTGACATGCATTCATTGAACTCTTGCATTTGTAAGATGTTGATTCTGGGCCCCATGTGCACCGTGCTTTTGCGGGTGCCACTTGGCTTTACTGAGTGTGAAAAGTGCTTCTACTCCGACCTCATGAATCACGCAAGCAGTTGCAATACTTGAAAGCAAGTCTTCGAATCATGCTACCATCCGCGAAAGAAGCTTCTGACATGCGGGTGATCACCGAAAATCATGTACACAAGATCATGATGTGAATCTTTCGTGTCAGTGTGGGCTTAAAGCCGAGCCATGCACACACCTTCAGATCTCCCAGCTGAAGCTCGGCTTCAATACCCCTGGTAGCAACAGGCTTCTGAAGCCCTAGCGATTGGTCAAAGCGGCATGATCCCTCCATGTTCTCCATCTCTCCGCCCATGGCTGAGACAGACCTGGGAATCAGAGACGGTCCTAGAGTCGTTCTTGATATGAGAGATGCAGAAACGACATGCGCTCACACACACACACACACACCACATATATGTATACACATACATACATACTACATACATACCTACCTACCTACCT